GGTCCTTTTCCACCGGGCAGCTCTCCAGCCACTCCTCCCCAAGCCTGTAGCGCTGCGTGGGCTTGTTGTGACCCAAGCGCAGGACCCGGCAATTGGCCTCGGTACATCGATCCAGCCTGTCCAGATCCCTCTGAAGAGCCTAGGCTCCTTTAAGGTCCGTCCTTTGTTTGTTCTTTTGTTTATTTGTTTGTTTGCTTGCTTGTTTTTAATTTTTTAATTTTTCTTTTTATCTAACTACATACAGGGATGACAACAAAGAATGCCATGTCAAAGAATTGCTTGCACTTGTTGGCAAACCTTTCACTTGCTTCATTGTAATTCTTACTTATTGAAGTAGGGTCCCAAAACCTTGAAGGGGTTCAGTACCTGTCTCCTGACAAGAACAGAAACATACACTGCTAGAACAAGACTTGGGGTTGTGGGGAATAAAAGTAGCGTGGCTCTTGGTAAACATGAGGAGTAGCTCTCAGGGCACTGTAAAAGGGTGGGAGGAGACAAAAGAGAAAGCGTTGAAGTCTCACACTGGATCAGATTTGAGGAGGAAACTTGGGACAATGCTGATTATTGCCAGAGTACTGTGCAATAAGATGAGCCACAAATGCACATTTTATTAATGTGCCAAACAGAGGCAGTGACAAATGAGATTGCATGAGAGGCTGGGTGACTAGTTCTTTCCCTCCTCGTTTTATGGCTTCATGCACTGGCACCAATGCCATCCATGTGCTGCCTAATTTTCTAAGTACAACTGAAATACATGTTGGTTAATGTGAAGCGGAAGACAATTTCGTGACACCACTGAGCATGCCTAGCAAAGAAGAGATCTTGCTCATTATTTGGAAATATTTTCCATATTTTCTCACTGTTTATGATCCTGATTCTGATCTCTGTATGAACACAGGCAAGTAAGCCATTCTATTTCTCTGCTTGCAATAGACTATTTATAAAGACATTCATTATCATTCACTATCTTCTTTTTAAACATGATTTTGATAATAGAAGGAAATTTGTTTTAATTATTTCTTTTCCTAGGGACTTTTTGACCAGCTGAGATCCAAATGGAATTTCACATTGAAGAGGTGCTGAAGGAGACAGAGGAAAGATGTTCTGCCCATGCTTACCTACAGTAACAACAGTGAGGAGGTTTTTCAAGAGTTGCTCCTCCTGATGCCCTGTCATATAAGAGCAGTGAAGGCTCTAGAAACACACTTCGTCTAGGCACTCTGGATTTTTCTCAGCAGTTGCTCCGCTGTTAAGATTTTGGCTGTCCTCACGTTCCTTTGAGCCCCCTTGCCTTCCTTCCCCTTCAAGGCGACAACGGGGAGCAGCCGGTTGTCCCTGCTGGGCAGTGCCAGCGGAGGGCACCCCAGCACTGCTTTTGCCAGGTCAGACCTTACCCAGGGCTTCGGTTCAGGGTGGGATTCATGAAAACAAGTGTTCAAAGCAGGTTGAGTAACCTGTTTCACCCGGATGATACTGCTAGTTTTCTCAGCATTTTATGCATTTTTCCTTTCTGTGCACTTTAGAAATGACCTTCGTTGATTAAGGCCAAGACTACATGTAAAAATGTGAGCAATCATAAATTGCTCCAGTTGGTCTGGTAAAGTGGTCCTGTAGCTTTTTGCACATAACCACCCTCCCTTGTATCTGAACTGATTGCAAGTGCTGGCTTCACTCCTGCGCCAGTGGCACAATTTGCTTGCACTCTGCCTTACTGCATAGTCGTCAGGGAAAGGAAAAAGGGAAAGGAAGTGTTTAAAAAGGCTGTAGAAAGCTGTGCTGCATACAAAGGCCCGGTCGGACAGCCACAAATACAATCTATCTGCAAATGGCTATCTTAGGAAGGGCTCCTGTTTAATTTTAATCTTAGAAATACAAGAATCATGCAGCATATGAACTTGCTGGAACATTTTGTGATATTTACTGTGCAAAAAAGGAAGTCAGAATCATTGACGTTGAGTCACCCTCTGATTTCTCGGGGGAAGTCTGGAGCCAACTGTTGTGACAGGGGAAGTAGGCAGAGTTGCTGGGGAGTTTTATTCCTAATATCTCAGAGTAATATCAGATTAGGCTAATCTTTATGCTGCTAGTATAAATCATCCACTTTGAAATGGCT